CTGTATACCTCGAAAAGGGGGCATAGAATTCAGAGAATGTGAAAATAGGTTCTGAGTCCCTGGTTCTGTGATTTCCCACCCCTCTGGCTGTGTGTCCTTCTAGGAAGGGTCATCGTCGACAAGTATATTCCTCTCATGGCTTTCTCTCCCACCTCATCCCTCCTTGGCAAAGAAAAGAGATCATAATTTCTTTGGCTTCAGGAATCTGGGGAGTTCAGAAAGCAGGGGTGCCAGTTTGAGAACGTAAACTTCATGAGGACGGGTCTTTGTGTAGAGTGATCACAACTGTGTCCCCATCAGCTAAAAGAGATGTGCAGTGAATCTTTGTCAACTAAATAAATTATAAATCCTCTGAGACTCTGTTACATGTTTCTGACAGGGGTTCTCAGCATGGACTCTGTTGACATTTTGGACTAGATAATCCATCGTTGGGGGAGAGGTGGATGTCCTGTGCCCTCTGGGAGGCTCCACAATTGCCCTGACTTCTACCTATTAGATGCCAGTAGCATCCCCCTCAATTGTGACAGTTGGACATGTCTCCAAATATTGCCACGTGTCCCCTCGGCGGGGGGGGGGGGGGGGGGGGGGGGGGGGCATGCAACATCACGCCCAGATGAGTGCCTTCTTTGGTCTGTAGAGTGAGGGTTTGCTGAGGGTTCTGTTGAGAGGTTTGGGTTTGTAACGTGAATGAGATACAAAGGTTTGTTAAAGATACGAGAATATACTGTGTATGTGAGATAAGTAATAGTGTGTCTTTGATTTACCTCCGGGGCAAACATTTATCTTCCAGCCGGCACAAGTCTCTCTCAGAGTCACGGGGAGGAGGGGTGCAGGGCGGTCAGCTGCCAGGCCTGCAGCTCTGCCCCGAGCCACCCGCATTGCTACTTTAAGAAACAGTAACAGTAGACGATGCAGCTTCTGGTTCAACTTTGAACCGGCAAGTCAAGTACAGGCTGACCTGTTTACAAGGCAGATTATTTTAAAATCTCAGCTTGCTTATTACCCTTTTAAAATTGATTCTGTGGATATGACGCGGTTTTGCTTGTTAAAGATGTCCCAGGTCAGGCGTGAGGATTAGGCATAGTGGTGTTTTTCAGTGACCGTCGCAATCAGATTTGGCTCACAGAAGAATACCTTTCCTACGCTGGCCAAGCCAACCACTGTCTACTGTCAGGAATTCCGACAACACTGTTTCGTTACTTTGAAACCTGGATATTCAGAAGACACTCCGGCAGCAAGAGGAAACCTTGAAGATCACAGAATCCAACCTTCTCCATTAAGAAATTAGGAAACCGAAGCTGATATTTTTCCTTAAAATGCCAGTACATCAGCATCACGAAATGTTAATCAGAAGACACCTATCACTGAGGGTGATCCTATTGGTTTGTGTGAGAACTTTCTTTGCTCTACTGGAAAGACTCTTCCCACAAAGCTGGGTGGCAGGGATTCAGTGCTGTGATGGAGGTGGAATGGTTAGGACCAGCAGGAGTGCAGTGCAGGGGAATGGTGGGCGCACGGGCGGGAGTGCAGTGCAGGGAGAAGGGTTGGCGCACTGGCTGGAGTGCAGTGCAAGTGGAATGGTTGGTGCACCTGCAGGAGTGCAGTGCAGGGGGAATGTCTGGAACACTAGGAGGAGTGCAGTGCAGGGGAGACGGGGAATTGTTACCACATTGGCAGGAATGCAGTGCAGGGGGAAGGATTGGCGCACCGGAGGTATTGCAGTGCAGGGTGAGGGTGGGTGCCCTGGTGGGACTGCAGTGAAGAGGGAAGGGTTGGCGCACGGGAGAGAGTGCAGTGCAGGCGGAAGTGTGAGCGCATGGGTGGGAGTGCAGTGAGGGCAGAAGTGCTTTGCAGGGGGAAGGGTGGGCGTACGGGGCAGGGGGGCAGCAGTGGGGGAGGGTGGGCGCAGGGGTGGGTGTGTAGTGCAGGTGGAATGGTTGGCGCACTGGCAGGAGTTCGTTGCAGGGAAATTGTTAGCACCCTGGCAGGAGTGCAATGCAGGGGAATGGTTGGTGCGTCTGCAGGAGTGTAGTGCAGGGCAAAAGGTTGGCACAGTGGCTGGAGGGCAGTGCAGGGGGAAGGGTTGGCACAGCAGCAGGAGTGCAGAGTAGGGGAAGGGTTAGCACACTGGAAGGAGTGCAGCACACCATCAGGAGTGCAGTGCAGAGGGTAGGGTTGGCACACTGGCACGAGTGCCATGCAAAGGCAATGGTTAGCACACTAGCAGGAATGCAGTGCTGGAGAATTATTAGCACACTGGCAGGAGTGTACTGCAGGGGAATCGTTAGCAAACTGGCAGGAGTGCAGTGCAGGGAGGATGGTTAGCACACTGGTAGGAGTCAGTTGCTGGGGGAATGTTTAGAACACTAGCAGAAGTGCAGTGCAGGGGAATCGTTTGCACACTGACAGGTATGCAGTGCAGGGGGAATGGTTGGGGCACATGCAGGAGTGTCCTCACACACTAGCTCCTGATAATATTATCTGACCCAGATGGAGTTGCCTTGTTGTTGTACTCAAGAGCCCTTTTTGGACCCTGGAAACTAGATTTCTTTATAAGACTTAGACAGTGAAACTGAGGGACCCTGAATGATTTTGTATGGTTGTCTCCTATACTAGAATGCAACTAAAAGACCACAGTGTGGATACAGAGGCATTTAAAAAGAGGCATTATAGGGGCGCCTGGGTGGCGCAGTCGGTTACGCGTCCGACTTCAGCCAGGTCACGATCTCGCGGTCCGTGAGTTCGAGCCCCACGTCGGGCTCTGGGCTGATGGCTCAGAGCCTGGAGCCTGTTTCCGATTCTGTGTCTCCCTCTCTCTCTGCCCCTCCCCCGTTCATGCTCTGTCTGTCTCTGTCCCAAAAATAAATAAAACGTTGAGAAAAAAAAAATTAAAAAAAAAATAAAAAGAGGCATATAAAGGAAATATTCCTCAGTGACTTTTTCCAGGTAAACAGTATTACCTTCACATTGTATTAAGTTGACCTAATGTCTGAGGTGAGCTTTCCAGTTATACTCCTTCTGCACAGTTAAAAAATTGAAGTGTGATTTAAGAAATAGTAAAAATTTGAAACATACCATTTTTAAAAAGAAGGAAAGACAAAGTACATTTCCTTCCTTTGAATCCTAACCTGTCTCCCACCCTGTTAGGGAAGGAGCTCTGTATATACTCTCCTATGTGCTTTGGGTAATCCAGGGATATATCCTGCTGGGCATATTTGGTGGAGAGGTCAGCTAAACTTTTCAAGTGGAAAGAAATAGACATTGGAATAAATGCCAGTAGGTTTCCATAAAAAGTAATAGATTTTCTCATGTGAAAATCTATTCAGAAAAGGTTCAAAGTCTGTCTCGGTTTTTTTTTGTTCAATCTTTTTATAATTTAAGCCAAAAGCAGCAGAACAACCTGCATTAAATAGTAAATTAGTATTTGTCCAAGTCAAGGCAGTCTCTGTGGGCTGATGGATTGATTGATCTGGGGCCCAGTCACTGTCAGAGTTAGGTGTTGATTGAATACCTCACTGTTCACCACACTCTTCAACATAGTTATTTTAGCCTTCAGGTCTGGCAAGAAAATGCAATCATGTTGGTTATTGCTTTAAAAAAATGTCCGGCATATTTATAAACAACTAGAAAAGAGTCGTAAACACTTGGGTTAGATTTATTTATCAGATTTCACCTACTTAACATGGTCCTTTGTTTGTCCGTAAACTGGTCCATAATTGTTCTTCCTTAGTGACCTTCAAACAAGGGAATTGTATTCAGAAATTATTTTTTTCTATTCCAGTTAGATACCAGAGAGCATTTACTGGCCCATAGTTCCAGAATTATACTCTGTAGAACCCTGCCACTCATACCTCATGCCCACCCTACACCTGGGCATGATCCTTTCTTTGCTGTCCTCTCTGCCTCTGTGCTGTGTGAGTTTTGTGTGTATCTCAAGCGTGCAATGGTTTAACAGCTCTCCAGAAAGCGCAATGCCTTCAGGTTCCACGGGAGCTGTGTCTCTGCAAGTGGCCAGTAAAGATCATTTTTTACAGATGCCTGATCCTAGTGGGTCAACCATGAGCCAGCATGTTCTCCTCTCAGCAAACCCCATTTCTCACCTCACAACCAGACATGGGGCTTTCAAGCTTTACTTGAGGGGTGAGTTTTCATCTTCGGCCTGAAATACCTGAATCCCAACGGTCTTGAGCAAGAACTGGTAATTCAGTGTAGGGAGAAAGAAAAGGTGGCAGGAACTGAGAGTCTTAGCTTCTAAGGATTGATGAGACGGAGTCATGTTGCCCCCAGTCCCAGGAAATGGTGCCGGATTTTTCTGGTGAATAAACCTGTAGTATGTTGCCATCTAGTGGAACATATGGCAAACTAAAGATTAATGTATTCTGACCGCAGAGTTCCCCAGAGCTAATTAAATCAGCCCGAGAAAGTAACTGAAAGAATTTTTCTAAAAGGAAGTGTTTTGGAAATGTATGCAAATTTCAGGTGAAACTACAGTTGACTTTTAGTGATGGTGTTTTCTTAAAGTTGCCAAAAGGTTGCTCTGTTTCTTAAAGAGTTTGTGAATATTTACCACCGGGAACTGACAAGTTTTTCAAACCTGTATCCCGGCAATGATCCTGCAATTTACCTATCACCTACCTGCACAGTAGGCATCGTTTCTTTTTCACAGTCCTAGCAAAAGGTTTGGTTGTGACAAGGCGATTTTAGTGCTTTTTAAAATGTGGTTTTTTTTGAAGTTTCCAATATTTTTTTAAATCCATTTCTTTTAAAAAAAATTGTTTTTAATTAAATTTCCACAGAATAAACATGCTTACATTTAGGAGAGGCAAACACATGACTTCACAAAGTAGGAATTTCACATCTTGAATTCTAAAGAACATCCCAGAAAATGCCTGATTCTGTGGTTTCAGACCTAATTTGTGCAAAGACCTGCAGACTTCTTTCAGGAACATTGACTACTTGTTTTCTCTTGTTTCTTTGCTCTTTTGCTTTTGTTCGCTCAGATCCCTCCCTGGTGCCACAGCAGCTGAGTGTGCCTCGAACCTGAAGAAAATCTACACGGTGCAGACAGTCCAGGTAAGACGTCCAGGAAGTGGACGTCCCAGGTGAAAGTGGTGTATGTTGGACCTCTAACCCTCCAACCTGAAACGGCTGCCGTGCTGGCCGTCCCCACCCAGCGTTCTGACATCGGGTGTCAGCTCTCAGGTCCAAGTTGGTAGAGCCGCGCTCAGCTACGTGTAACCCAGAGGCTGGCCCAGCGCACGTCCAAGTGGCCTGCTCTTCTCTTGGTGACCTGCTGAAACTTAGTTCCTACCTAAATCCTTCACAGACCCTCAGGGGCAGCAGGCTGTGGTGCGTCCTTACATGGATGTGTGCCCCCATTCAAATACCAGCCTGGCCACCCCCTCTCTGGGTTTGCAGCTTTTAATTTCTGCAAACATTGGTATGATGATAGCACCTACCTCCGGAGTGGTTGGAAAGAGTGAGCAAGATAATGTTTATACCCTGCTTAGCAGAATACCTGATACATGGTAGGTTCTCAACACATATAAGCTTAGATCTGTTAGTTCTTTCTCTGGCCAACTCTTATGAAGAAAATTTCCAAAAACCCTGGTTTATTTAGTTGAGCATATTTCCATTTTCTTCAAAAGCAAAGTCTATCAAGTTTATCCCCCTTTTCGAGGTTAATATAGTGTTTTAGACAGAATAAGGATTTTAAGGCTGCTTTATTCTTGCAATGACTAGATGTCTTGAATTTTCTGGAAGGGCCAGCTTTGGAGTTTTCCTGTTGTGCCTCTAAAAATGTATTAGCAATTCCATGAGACGGGCATCTAGATTGTGTCCCTTAGGCAGTTCCTCATACTCAAAAGTAGCACAAACATCTTTTTTCAGACACTTTTCCCAGTATTTGGTTCAGAAAATTTGATGTGCCTGGTTCTGTGGTCCTGGGAATCTAATTTTAAGGTGTCATGCCTGGTCACTGAGCCGGGTGTAAAAACACAGCCCAGACCATAGGCCATGTCTGTTCCAATTGAGAAAATGACGTAATCATGTGGAAGGCGAAAGAACAGAGCTGCTGTCAATAACCATGCGGTGCCAAGTACAAGCAGTGTCACAAGGCAGCACGTGGGCCCCCGTCCAGAGGGATAAGTGCTCTCATATTCCGGGAAAGGCTTCCCCTCGCTTCTTCCCTGCGGTGATGTTGTGGACTTTCATCACCTCTTCCCTAGCAGTCGTTGTACAGATCTCAGAGCACTTGATTTTGAAGCTGTCTCCACATGAAAGTCCATAGATCCCTTTTTCCACCCCATGATGACGTTGGGTCATCAGAGCTCCACCTGGGATTCCAAGACAACATTGGTGAAGTCAGATCAAGGGGTCCATCTGTTTCCCTGACCCTGCATGACAACAGAACATTGGGTTGGGCTTTGGTATCCTGCAGCAAGTTAGAGCCTTCAGGGACCAATTTAAAGTACCCAGGCTGGCACATGCTGGGAAATACTGTCTTGAATACTCTGTTAGGAGATAATTTAAATTCAGTAAACGTAGATTTCGTAAGTATGCAGTTTGATAAGTTTTGACAAAGGTATGCAGACGTGTAACCATGACCCAGATCAAGATAAAAAGATTTGCATCTTTAGAAAGTTCCTCTGGGCCCTTGCATTCAGTCTTTTTCTTCTAGAACCAACCACTGTTCACATTTCTATCACCATAGATTTGTTCTGTCTTTTATTGAATGTCGTATAAATGGAATAACACAGTACCATACTGTATTGTGTCTGGTTCCTTTCCCTCAGTAAATACTGAAGTATTGAATGAATAAATGAATGAATGAGAAGTTAATAAATGAACCACTTTCCTGAATCACAACTGACTGCTTGTATAAGGATCCTTTAAGCTGTAGGCCACGTTCTCAATGGAGGCAAAAAGTGATCCTTGGTGGGGTAAAAAAAAAAATCCCACTCTTTTTATACATAAATCAGAGATATATATACAGCACATAAACAAATATATGGCTTTGCTGTGGTATTGACCTTTCACAAGGGAGTAATTAGCACAAGGGGCTCTTTTGAGGAGGCCTGGAGAGGTGTGATAATGAAACACTGTCCTTAGTGGTCAGGAAGTTCTTTCCTATCTCTGATGCCTCTGCCTCCCTGTTTCCTCATCTGTAAGACTGAGATAATTGCAGTGCCTACCTCCCTAAGGTTGAGCAAGGTTTTGATGAGCTTGTGTACGGTTCCTGGTGGTGCTTGGCACTTAGTAAAGCCCTTGGATGTTGGCAGCTTTTACTAAAGTGGTGTTAGATGCTACCCCTTGGCCTCATCAGTTGACTGGCGAGGATGTGGGTGACGGTGTAGAGCGGTCACACTGCCTGGGTTTGTATCCCGTGTCTGCCGCTTACGGGGTCGGGCAGGTTGCCTAACTTCTCTGTACCTGCTTATTCATCCTTAAGATGGGGAGAATCTTGATACTGATTGTATCATGAGGCCCTGAGAATGAAATGGCACAAGGAGGTAAAAAAGCACATAGTAAGTACCTAATAATAATAATAATAATAAACCTCACCTGCCATTATTCACTTACTTCTGTTGAAACATCTTTTTGTAGTTTCCTCAGTCACATTTTCTGTCAGAAAACCACATAGCACTACTTGTAGATTATTTATTTCAAGGTATTATTCCCCAGAGTATGCCCCTACTGACACCTCTACTCACGACAACATATTTAACCTGTCAGTAACTCTGAGGATTCCAGTCTGTGAATGTCCTAAACATTTGCGAATAGTCCTTAGTATTTAACAACTAGCTTTGGTGCCAATTTTAATTCATTTGAGGACATGCCTTGGTTCCCCTGTGTTGTTATTCTGTGATTATGTGTTGATTTTTGGACCTTCCCTCTTTCAGCACTAAAAAACTCATTCCTAATTGTGTCCTTGATTTTTCCCCATCCCTGTTGGGATGAAATATGAGAACCATGTGTTATTAATGACTGCTTTACATATAAGGATATAATATGTCTTTTTGTACTTTGAAGCCCTTCAGCAAATCAGAGATGTTGATGGGAGTCGGGGAGGAATGGTTATTCCCATTTATTAGCTGGAGACACTGATACTGAGAGGTTAGTGCTCCGAGAAACATCTAGTGGAAACAGCCAATCTTGCCACATCTCAGGGACTAGAACTCCCACCCCTTCTAGTTCAATTCTTTTTCTTTCACTCTGACCTGACTGAGAAGGTGGGGAGGCGCGTGCCTCCAGACGGTCCACTGACCCCTGCTGAGGACACTCTCACTGTAGCCAACAATAATTCTCTTTGCTTGGAGTTAAATTTATTTCCTACTTTCCTGCCTTTCTTGGAAAATTCCATTTTTCATCTAGTTGTGTTTTCCAGATGCTTATTGATTCCTTTCACTCTTTTGTAAACATTTCCAAACTTCCCACATTTCTCCTGTGTTTTTACGTCCTGAATGGACACAGTACAGAATAGGACACAGCTTCTGAACACGCCTGATTTTACCTGTGAGACAATGGAGAGCTACCTGCCAAATGTGATTTGCAAGAGAGGGCTCCCTCGTCCCCACTGTCTTTTAGCTTTCCTACCACAAAACCAGCATTTCCACCCATGAAAACTCATTGCTCTACAACACTCTATCCCGTGTCGGCCGTCCGGGTTATCCCCTTCAAGATTTGGCCATACTGTGTTCCACCGGTGCCATGTTCACCCCGGTATTTCCTATAAGTAGGCTGAGTTTTTACTTAAATTTACATAATACAGAAACTTCATATTTCTTTTGTAGGTGGATATCCAGCATCGTTTATCCTAAACAGAGAGTCTTCATCAGAAATACATACAATCTGTTAAAATCAAGAGTGTTCCTTCTGTACCTGTGTACTGCCAGTGGTAATCAAGACATCATCCCTCATCAGAAGGTGTGGGATGGCTGTGCTCTTACGGATCAGTAGGTTAGGGCGACAGATTGCCTTCCACATCACTGGGGAGTGAGGGCTGTCGCTTTCAAAAGGAGAGGTGTGGGGCGCCTGTGTGGCTCAGTCGGTTAAGCTTCCAACTCTTGATCTCAGCTCAGGTCATGTGAGCACCCTCCCCCCCGCCCCCCACACACACCATGTCTGGCTCTACGCCAACAGTGTGGGGCCTGCTTCTCTCTCTCTCTCCACCTCTCTCTGCCCCTCCCCTACTTGTGCTCTTGCTCTCTGTCTCTCTCTCTCTCTCATAAACTTAAAAAAACAAACAAACAACAGGAGAGGTTTATAGGTCAGTACTGATAATGAAGAGTGATGTGAAGATTGATTCAAATTTTGAACACAAGGGCAGCCCGCGGTGGGTGGCATCCTGCAATGGAATGGCCTGGAATGAACCATTTGGGTGAAGGGAGGGGACCGAGGTAAGAAAGAGACACTCAGTGTCTCCGCATCGAAGACAGACAAAAGGTACTGCAGCCAGGACTGCTTCGTGGGTCTGTGGAGCACAGACTTAATTTCAGGTTAAGGCAGGTTTCATCTAATTTATTCACCATGTGTATAATGAGATCAACATTTATAGTAACTGTCCATTTGTGCCAACATAGAACTGCAGTCAGGTTACCCATGATCCTCTCTCTCTGCTGGGGGCCCTCGTATGGGTGGGGCTGAAGGGGCAAATTAAATCTTGCAAAGAAGAGTAATTTAGTCACTTCAAATGTAAAACCTGGTCTCTGAAGGGGATCGGAATATGCCACCCCCTAAAATGCCACTTTAGCATAAGAATTATTTTGAGCTGGAGACAGTTGAGAAAGAGCAGACACAAGAGGAGCCCTCTACCCTCCTGTCTGCCTAACATCAGGGCATACATTTCCCTTTTAAGGTGGCGTAAACTTCCATTTGTAAGGGTATCCCCCTTTCTTGTCACTTGAGTCTGCATAGCAAACCTTACTCAACAGCCATCTCTACCATATATGTCCTAGTCACCTCCCCAACTTACCACCTGTCAGGAGCCCTGATCCCCTTCTCCTTCGGCCAGTCACTTTTCACAGTGCATCACCCTTCGTTATAATAGTGTATAAGCTCCTGAGTCCAACCACTTTCTCTGGGCTTTCACTTCCATTCTGTGAAGCCCCTGTGCACTTAAAAGTATCAACATTGACAAAGACGCATATACCTGAGGGCCTTATTCAGGAAGCCAGATGCACGCAGCTCCGATGTCTTTCCCCAGGCTTTTCTGGGGGCTCTCTCCTCTCAAAGTTTGAATTCCACTTAGCTCCCCAATCCAGCCTTTGCATTTTATTCAGTGACTTCCTGTGTGGTGAGAGATTGCCCTAACACCCTATCCTTTATTTTATCATCAAGCGATGACCAGACCTCCAAACTTTGGTTCTCTCTGTAAGTCAGGCCTTTTTGGGATTCAGAGCAAAACCCCTTTCTCTATCAAGTGCCCAGCTCTTGCCAATCAGAAGCACTTGGCTTTCAGCCTGTTGTGTCTGTCAGTTAAAAATGTTCTCTAAGTTCTTCACTTGTCTTCTTTGTTCTGGATTCTTTCTGCCTTCCTCACAAACATCATTGATCCAGTTGGTGGGAAGCAAGCTCCAGACAACTAGAAATTCATTCCTAATAAAGGAAAATATTTTCATATTATTTAAAAAAAATACTCTTCTGGGGTACCTGGGTGGCTCAGTTGGTTAAGCATCCAGGTCCTGATTTTGGCTCAGGTCATGGTATCAGGGTCCTGACTTCATACCCTTTGCTAATAGCATGGAATCTCTCTCTCCCTCTCTTTCTGCCCCTGCCTCCTCTCAGAATAATTAAATGAACTTAAAAAACTGCTCTCCTGCTTCATATGCTATGGCCCTTAAGAGAAATTCTGAATTTTGTTTTTTTGGGGGGAGGGGGTATAATTTGCTGGGCGTTTTTGTTTTGTCTTACACCCGGTTGCCTGTCACAGCATGGCATTGTTTTCTTCTCTAGTATTTTCAAGTATATTGTCTTTTTCTATTCTTGAGAACATTCCAGTAGAAACTCGAGGAGGAAATGTGTCAGTTTTTCTGATAGTGAATGATGATCTGTTTGGCAGACGACGGTCAGGTGGCTCCAATCAGAACTGGAGGATTAGGGATTCATCAAGTGGTCACTACTGTCTAGTGAGTCTAACCACATCTTGCTTCGTTACTTTAGGCAGATCACAAACTTTGACTTCACCTTGAATCCTTAAATTATGCAATGAAATAGCTGTTATCTGCTCATTATGTGGAGAACGAGGTTGGGTTTCAGGGGCCCCATGAACTGTGAAGGTGATCCTGAGAACCATGGTCCTAAATCCAGGTAGACTTGCTTGGATTTTCACCTCCACTGATGAGCCTGCCTCCATTCAAGGAAGGTGCCAGAATGATGCTTGAGAACGTACCCACCAAAGCGCAGACTGCAAGGGCAAGTGTGGCCCTCATATATGCAGTGCTGTTCCCCCAAGGACTCATCACAGTGCCCTGCCCCTCACTGGTGTCTGCAAATGTTGAGCAAACGAATGATACTACCTGACTCTTCTGCCTGTCCTTATCCTTGAGTGATCGTTCAGGCTTTTGGAAGAAGCACTTAAGCACTGTACAGAAACATTGTGCTTACGTCTGCTTCAACCTACTATTTGCAGGCCGCTTAGAATTAATGATGAGAGTTACAAGAATCCTAAAAGCCATTTGGCTTTTGAAATCTATTTGCAAGTTTCTATCTGTAGTAAAATTTAGGTGCTTGAACAAAAATAAAAATGTGTTACAGAGAATATCATCATGAATTCTCAAGCTTCCAGTGAAATAGCTCTTTTACTTCTGTGGGTAGGGCGGTGTAAGGAGCTGGGCAGTGCTGGATTCCTTCCTCAAGCTATTTCACCATCATGCATACAGTCGTCTCCCCTTGTCCAACAGGAAGACATTCCGAGGCCTCCTGTGGATGCCTAAAACACTGCCTTGTGCTGAAGCTTACATATACAAAGATTTTTTTTTCATGTGCAAGCATACCTATGATAAAGATGAGTTTACAGTTAGGCACAGTAAGAGATTAACAGCAGCGATGATGAAATAGAACAATTATATACACTATAATAAAAGTTACCCGAATGTGGTCTTTCTCTGTCTCTCAGAATATTGTCCAGTAGTCAGCCTTCTTGTGATGATGTGAGATGATGAAATGCCCACATGGTGAGGTGAATGACAAAGGCTGTCATTCATAGCCACTAAGCTACTATGGAGACCTTCTGCTCTTATGTCAGAAGGAAGACCATCTACTTCTGGACCACAGTTTACCACGGATAACTTAACAAATATTCCACACATTGGATAAGGTTTGCAACAAGGAAACAGACCGGTTTAGTGCCGCAGATTTTAAACGGGGCTCTTTTCAACGGCATCACCAGATGTTTTGCTCCTGTTTTGTGTTCACACACAAACTTGTAAATATGTGCCTTGACAAGTACCTTAAGTCAGAATTCAGTCTATTGCTGTAACTTCTTGGGCTGTAGTCTCCTGTCAGATGTGCCAAGACTAAAAAAAATCAGCTGTCAGGTTTAAAAGAGAAACTTTTACAGCTACAAACCTTAGCACGATCCTTCGAGTGTTTTCTTTCTGGATGAGGAGAATATTGTGTTGTTCTTTTCAAGGTGCTTCAGACACTCAGTGAAATGCTAGGATATGAGAACTTTGGAAGGGGGGCGGTGGGGGACAAGGGCAGGTGCTTTGTTTTGGGTGCCCCATTAGGAGGCGTGAAGGTTAACAGCACCAAAGTCCTCTTAGTAAAGGAGGGATTTTTATTCTAGCATAATTTGATCCATAAACTCTACACAGGTCACTGCCACATCATCGCACAAGTCCCAGACTAGAGCTAACCAGCATGCTCAATGTGGTTAAGGGCATTTCCTGGCAGGAAGATGTCTCTAGCAGGCATCCCTCATTCTGTGACTCCCTGACCTGGTCTGTGGCTTCCAGGATTGGAGAAGGATGTGCCTAAAACATATAGTAACGTTTTCAAAGGAAATAGCATAGTATTTAAGAGCACACATTTTGGGGGCACTAGGTGTCTCAGGCAGTTAAGCCGGGTCATCATCTCGGGGTTCCTGAGTTTTGAGTCCTGCATCCGGCTCTGCGCTGACAGCTTGGGGCCTGCTTCAGATTCTGTGTGTGTCTCTCTCTCTGCCCCTTTCCCACTCGTGCTCTCGCTCATTCTCTCTCTCTCTCAAAAATAAATATTAAAATATTCTGAAAAAAAAAAAAAAGACACGTTTTGCAATCTAACTGTGGGGTTTCAAATTCCACCTCTATCTGTTCACTTTCACACCCCAGACAGATATTGGAGCAGTGTTACCATCTCCACCAGTAGCAAACCATTATAGGGTGAATACCTCCATAAGGACAGATACCTGTTTGGGGGCCTGCTGTTGTTACCACTGACCTATTTTCAGCTCTTCCCCATGTAGCACCACTTTTGTATAAGGATCAAGATATTCTTGATAAATCTACTGCCAAGTAGTTTTCTCTTCTGTTTTTTTGTCAGGTGGTTTTCTGACTTAAATTTTATCTTACATTTCATTGCAGGTGCTCTTGCCATTAATTTGGCTTTAACTTTTACACCGACAGGCTTGAACACCTCATGAGGAGTACCATCCAGCCTACATAAAAATTTCATTTACTGATATTACCCCATTGAAAAGGCCCCAGGATTTATTTTTCTAGTTGTTCTGTTAATTGTGCTTTCCTCACATCTACTAGGAAACCCAGCCAATCCCCCTTTACTGACCTCACCACACAGAGTGGTAACTCTTGTTTGCGTAGTAATTCTACACACAGAGTAGATGATGTAGTGGTACTATGGCCTGTTCCAAATGGTCTGAGAAGGGTTTTCTTATTTTAAGCCTAATCCTCGTCCCAATCCTAGTGGCCGTACTAAGCATCGACTCTGGAACAGATTAGTCTCCGGGCCTGCATTTCCTTATGTGGAAAACAAGAATAATAATTGGGCCCCTAAATGAGGTTTTCAGTAGGATAGATTCCATGCGTATGTAAAAGTTCATGGGCCAAAGCCTGGTGCTCTCACTGCTACTCTTACTACTGTTAGTATTATTCTGTTATTTTTATATAATCTGGTTTTGTCTACTAGCCGCCCTGTGTCTTAGTTAGTTCCAGCTACTATAATAGAATACTACAGACTGTTTGGCTTAAACAGTAGTAGACACTGGTTTCTCTCAGTTCTGAAGGCTAGAAGTCCAAGCTCAGGGTGCCTGCGGGGTTGAGTTCTGGTTTACAGCCAGCCATCGTCTTGTTCTATCTTCACACCATGGAAAGAGGGCTTGCTTTTCCTGTCAGGACACTGATCTCGTTGTGGGAGCTCCATCCTTCTGACCTAATTACCTCCCAAAGACCACCCTTCCTGATCCCATCCCATTGGAGGTTAGGGTTTCCATATATGAATTGGGGGAGGACAGGAACATGGAGTTCTGTTTTGGGCAACTTGTTGCTTTAGTACCCGAGCTGTTCCCTGTTCATTCTAGGAGGGAAAGGAAAGGAGACAGTACCTAAGGTGATCCCTCTCTGCCTCCTCTTCTATAGCTATCGCCTAATCCAGAGTGGAACAGTCTCCTTCGGGGCTTAGAAAGAAGGCGGGTCTGTGTTATAAGGAAATACGGTTCATTACATGGATTCAGCACTATAGTCTTTGTTAGATGCCATCGACCTGCCAGAAAAGTCATTAGCAAGGTCCTTGCTCAGTTATATGTGGAGATATGTTGCATAGGAATGTTTGTTTAATAACCATAGCTTCCTGAAGCATAGAATTTGGTCTGACATCAGCAAGGAACGTTCTTTAATGCTATGTTACATTTTCTAGTAGGGAACTAGAAAGAATACTGAAAAGAAAATCTATTTTGAATGGTTAAGACAATGAGAATCTGATTTTTTTTTCTTTAATGCATTAATTTTATAATCTAGTGGCATTGTAAATCAATACTGGGTATATTAAACAAAGTGTTTTTCTTTTGAAGATATTCTGGAGTGTGTACAATAATATCCCTCCTGTGACTAGCCTGCCTTTGAGATGTAGTTATCATTTAATGAGAGGAGAGAGGCGACCACTTTGGTAAGTGTCTAACTTGTAATTTGAGGTTAAGGTGGGAGGGAAGTGGTCGTGAACCTCATAAAATATTTACCTCGTGCCAAATTGGAATGCCAAAGTAATTTTCTCCTGGTAATGATGGAAAGTAATTTTAGCTATTACTTAATTATGAAGGAAGCCGCTGCTCACAGTCTCCTTCACCTTGGGCTCCAGGATGATTCGTGTTCCCCACTGCACACCCCATTGTCGTCTCACCAAAAATAGGTCATCGTTAGCATGCAGAAGTTAGGGTGCAGCTCTTTTTGTGGAGTGCTGCTTCTTTTGGGTGTGTTCTTTCATTTGCTCATTAATGGCCTGGACAGTGGAGTGAAAAAGCCTAGAGGCTTTCGAGAGATGAGAGGAACAGATGGAGTATCCATGTCTGTTGTATGGTTGCTCCCCAGAGACCTATCTCACGTGGACCACATAAAGAGCATCGTGATCCAGGCCATGGCCCGGGGTCTAGAGGAAGGTATCCTTCTTTAATAGCTTGGTGTCATGATGAGGTTGGCAGACAATAAGCCAGTTTGCTTAGGCTGGAGTCTCAATTAGTAATCCGTTCTTATATCACATCCCTCCACTGTTCTGAGTTATTTGCTCGTTAATAAAATGGAAATAGGCCCTGGCTCATTTGGTAGCCAATGACAGAAGCGTAACGTGGGCCTAGATAGATAGATAGATAGATAGATAGATAGATAGATAGATAGAATTTGTCTTTGTCCCTGTAACTGAGCTGTCCACTGGTTAGGGCTGATTTCTGGCATATCTGAGTGCTCAAATGTTATTAGGAATCTGATGCTCTTCATCAGATTTATTATGCTTTCCTGTGGGTTGATTTAATTTTTCGGGCAGGTTTTCCCATGTGTGGTGGCAAAATGGCTTTCCTGAGTTCCAGGCTTACACCTTACGTGTTGAATCACTGTCAGCCTTCGCCAGACCCATTAACATGCCAAGGCTGGCTCTCCTTGGCTCACCGTGGGCCCTCTTTTACATCCCTGACCAGTGACTGGGACTAGGAAGAGGCAGTTATTCTCCTAAGCAGACCTGGGTCATAAGCCCTCTTGAGGCTAGGATGTGGAATCAACCCTGTTGGAATGGGTCTGATATAAAGTAGGGGACAAGTAGCTCCTTAAAGGGAAATTGGGGTACTTCTCCCAGAAGAGCAAGCAGATACTAAACAGGAAAACATAGGAGATGCCCACCATGGGGGCCAAGTGTCCTGTTAGGCATACGTTACAAGGTTGATATGAAAATCAGAGGAGACAATATCATGAATGTGGCTCTGAAACATAAAGGCGTTTACATATGGAAAGCCCTGTATTAATTGGTCTGTCCCCAGATAGTGTAGGGAACATCTCATCTCCGCCTCCTTCAGGGTGAGAAACAGGTGTCCCATCACCACCCCTGCCCTTGTGGCCCCTGAATCCCACTTTCTTCCCTCCCTGACTGCACTCTGTTCCTTTCTCTTTCATCTGCTTCCTTGTCCGGTGAAAGGATGGAGGGAGAGTTTATTGAAGAATGTTCTATTGTTTGTTGTTTTTAACGTCACCTGTTGTTGAACTAAATGCATGTAATTCCTTAATCCTTGAGTATAAATTTAAACCTTGGTCTCTGATCCAGGGAAGAGGAGAGTAATGCCAAGGGCGGCGTCTGGAAGATGAAAGTCCCCAAGGACAGCACGGTAGGTTAATTCTGACCCTTTTCTAGAACTGGCTATGGTTGCGATTGTTGTTGACTGCATATGGTGAGCATCTTGGGCTTTTTAGACAGTCCACCTGGTAGTCTCAGAACAGGACTGGGGGTGAGAAATTCTGTTCTGACCTTGGCGATTTTCTGCCTCACGGTGTCACCTTGAAAATGTAGTATCGTGTTTCTCTAGAGGGATGATGTGGTAGTGTGACTGTATCGTAAAGTCTGAAGAGCCACATACCCACAAACCTCCCAGAAAGGCTGACTGTGGCGGTCATTTCCTCACCAGCCATAACTAACGTGTGGAAGTTGGTGTACATAGTGAGAAGCAGGATCCCGCCCACCAAGGGCTCACTTGTCCTTCCTCCCCTGATGTTGGTGCAGAGGCAGGAGATGCTTGGAAGGCCAAGCGTCCTACCATTCTTGGGGGTTTTGTGAGAGGCTGTCCCTAGCCTCCCTGAGGGGCTGATGAAAGCCTGGTTGGTGGGATGCTTGTTTCTAGCGGCCAAGCCTCAGAAACCGAGATTTTCTAGGAATGGGCTCGCATTCATCATGCAGACTGAAAATGAACACGCAAACCTATTCTTAAGCTTTGGGAAACCAAAACACTTCTTTGAAAATGGATGAAAGGGCACAAGCTACCCAAGTCACCTTTTCATGGTTTCTTTTATGTGGATAAGCTCAAAGAACTGCAGTGTCTCCAGAGACCCATAGGTTTGAGTCATTTCCCTAGAAGCACAAACCTAAAGATATGACCGGATTTATTTGTGAATGATGCAAGCTGTCGCCAAGATGCGCAGCTCCAGGATTTGCCTGGTGTTTGGCTTTCCTAAAAAATGTCAGCGGAGCGAACAACCAGGCCAGGCCTGTGAAGCTCCTCTTGCCCCCCTTTCGAAGGAGGGAACGCAGAGAATGGAAGAGAATGAGAGAATGTAAGTTGTTTTTAATTTCGGCGAGAACGCCTTTTCCTTCTCAGGTTCTTTAATTACCCACACCAGGCTTTGAGTTATGGTAGAAACAGTAGTGATGTCAATGTGTGCTAAATGGTAGCTGTTGTGCACCTTGGCCCTTCCTCTCCCTGGCCATGTGCAGTCACAGATAATAACATGTTCATATTTGTACAAGTGTCCTCATGCCAAGAACCTCACGCCCTTTGAATTGTGGAGGAGTGGGAGTGTGATGGGCCAGCCTTGTCTGATGTGCCAGCGAGGGCAGGGAACTTCCCCTTGCCCCTGGCTTCCTTGCGACACCCTCAGCTTCATCACCAACAGTGTAAGACACTGCACGTGGGATAGGTGGGGAATGGAGAAGATGATTTCGAGAAGGGAGCATCTAGGAAAGGGAAAATAAAATCCTCCTTGACAGTGAAAGGTCACAGTGCTTAATTGCTATCCTCTTGGTTAAAAATTCAGCGAGGCTGCTTTCAGCTTCTTAGAACATAGTAATAAACACTATTATTAATAGTTAATATGTAGCGAGCACCTGGCATAGAGCAAGCCTGCAGCTATTTGCTGAATGGAACTTAACTGTTAGGTTCTATTGCTGCAGTCACAGTGCTAAGCCCTTTGAATGCATTTGTTGACTAATTTCATGGTCACAACAGCCCTGGGAGGCCAGCCCGTTGTTATTCCCCCCTTCGCCTAAGGAAACTGAGACTCCCCGGGGTTCCTCACTTCCCCCGTTACAGACTCCGCAACCTGTCAGGATTCAAACCCAGTTCTGAGAGAGCTCAGGGCCTGTGAACTCTGGCAAGGACGATAAATAGGACCAAGAACTTTTCAAAGGGGAATAACTGGAAGCACTTCTAGGCCTCCAGTTACCTGTGAGTGCACGCTAGGTGCTGACCGGATGGCCTTAGGAGATCTTGGGTGGAAGGGGCTCCAGGTCTGTCACTTGTAGAGGTGGACGGGCACACGTACTGATCCTTCCAGGGATATGCATAAACAGTTGGTCTCCAGTGGATGGAAGTCTGCAAGTCTCTAGTATTCCCTAAACCAGAAATTTCCTTAAGTGCTCATCACTTGGGTTGCTTTTTAAGTACCTTATAAACTGCAAGAAAAACAGAGGGAAGGAAGGGTTTGGGAGAGAAGGATTTTACTAATAGCATTCAGCTGTAGTCAGGTGATCCATTTTGAATCAATGAAAGGTAAAGGAATTGAACATCATATGTTTGAAAACATTCTTCCCCCACCCCCCATTCTTTGAACTTCATACTGGGTTTTACTAGAGATTGGCTTTGTGGCTTTGGACACAAAGGCTTTGGACACAACTTTGGACCTCTCGTATGTCTCTGTGTAAGGTTATCTGTAAAACAATACAGTATGTGCCAATAATGGGAGTGTTGACACCTGTGATCTGGGGATGTCTGTGGGCTCCAAATATGGGCATGAAAAGTGCATATGAAGCTGAAGAAAATGTGACTTGTTTAGCTCCTGGAGATACTTGTCTAAAAATATCTATGTTGTTATTGGTCTTTTTTTTTTTTTTTTTTTTTTTTTTTTGGTTTTGTTTGTTGTTTTTTATTCTTTTCCCATGCCAGTCCACAGTTTGGAAAGAATTGTTGTTAGCGACAATCGGGGAACAGTTCACAGACTGTGCCGCTGCAGGTAAAGAAGCCCGCACCATCGTTCCCCCACTCATGTGTGCTTGGCTTGTGCTTGTCCCTCGGAGAGGTTTGTTTTTGTGTGTTTGGCTTTTGACATGTTTTGAAGTTGTTTACTGTGTAACTGTGAAGTTACTTAGGTTTTTTTCATGTGATCATGGCATTTTGTGTTGTGTGGATGTGTGTATGTGTGCATATTGACATGTGTGTGTTACATGTATACATATGTGTAGTATGCATATATTTTTTCCCACATAGCTCATCTCAATAGTATCCATGAACATCGTCCAAAGTAAATAGCAGAAAGGAAAGAAAATTTGGTATCGTTTGGCTCTTAATACACTTTGGGGGAGGATTCTTATTCCAGTTCTTCCGGGGGGGAAGTGCCTTTGAGGTCTAGCGGGGTTTACAGTTAGTCAGGCACAGCCCTTTCTGTCCTCCTTAGTTTTTTCTCCCTTCCTCCTGTCCCTCTTGTGGTCCCCTACCTGAACAGACTTAACAAAGACCAGGCAAGGATGTGCCCACCATTATTACAATTGAAGCTGAAATACAAGGTCTAGAGGCATTTTCAAATATTGAGTGAATTTCTCCAAGCCTCCCTAAGCCCATTTTTATTTTGCTCTTTTTTTTTTTTTTTTTTTTTTTTTTTTAAATCATGAAAACACTGAAAGAGGAGAATTGAATTGTTTGTTTCAAGTTTGGTTTTCTTCCTGGCTAGTTCCTTCAGAACGCTCCTGAGGTAATATTTAGAATAACAATTTACCTGCTCAGCTTTCAGGTAAAAAAACCTTTTTTTAGGTAAATTAGTACTGATTAATTAGTCCTCAGATGTCTTAGTTGGTACTGTCTTCAGGCCCGTCCCCCCTCCCCAGGCCATGCCAGTGTCATGGCTAGTTTCAAATTCATCTACTAGCAGTCTCAATAATTCTCCTTTTGTTTTGCTCCCTTATTACACCAGTTTTCATTCCCTTAAGACAAAACCTGGGTTAGGATGAAATTGTCTTAAAAGTACAGGTTCCTTCTGTTTTAACAGGGAGTCATTAGCAGCTTCACAATATGAAGCCAAAAATGCGTCCTGGGTATAATTATAAACACATAAATCCCTGGGAGAGGAAGTTTCCTGTGCAAATTATTCCTGTTTCCAGAACCAGGGAAAATAGTCTAAGTAATAATAAACAGCCAGGATTGAGTAAAGAAGGCCTGTTGTTCCGCGGTTGACTTAGGAAGCGAGTCCACTATTAACTGTCCGTTAAGCATTAGCTCTTCTATTAAGCTGGCTCTGCCCCCTGAAGCAAGTCGGCCAGTCTCTCTGGGCCTCCCTTCCCCCACCTTTAAACAGTGGCTCCTCCTAGCTGTCATGGTGCCGGTACCCTAAAATAATTAGGGTTTTGCTGGTCGATTCTACTTATGAATATTACACATCCGCTGATGGATCTGCCTTTGCGTAAGAGTTGCAGCCTTTTACCACACCGCTTCTGAAAGTGCTATGCTAGTAGGATCCACCTAGTTACCGACAGCCAAGCCAAACCGAAATCCTGACGCCTCAGCAGAGTCAGCATCCATCAGTCACAGCACCCTCCGGCCAACAGTGTAGAAGTAGGCCCTACCCAAAGACCAGACAATGTTGATGTTTCCTACACAGCTGACCTCGTGTCTCCGTGGCCCTTCTTGGAAATGGTCAACTACGCGTAGGGTTTCTCTCTTTACTTGGTGATTTTCTGTTCACGTAGAAGTTTTAATAGTGAGTTTTAGCAAGTACACGTTGGAGGTGTAAGTTTTTTTTTAAAAATGAGAAACCTGAACTAAAACAACGTTTTTGATGCAATAATAAGTTTCTCTTGGCCAAGGAATGGCCACCATCAGGTCCTATTTGTTTTTTTGGAAATTCTGGGTTAAATGTGACATATACGCAGCAAAATACACAAATTGTAATGTGTACAGCTTGATAAATATTCATGAAGTAAACAGGTTCCTGTAACTGCATTCTCAGGGAGCAAGCAGAACATCACTTACCCCCTAGAATCCTTCCTTGCCCTCCCTTCCCCCAAAGGTGGCCACCCGATCTGGCTTCTGATACCATAGGCTGATTTTGCCTGTTTTCAAACATTTATATAAATGGCATCATTTAGCGTCAAGTTATACACATTTAGCCAGGATCAGTGCAGGGAGGGAGGAAAGGAAAGGAAGGAGGAAACAAAGGAATTATTTTACTAAAGACGCATTGCTTTAGTAAATTGAACATGCCCTCACTTAAATTGTATTAAATACTAGAATGTTTTAACCCCCAGAAGACAGCTGGAGAAATTGACGGTATAAATATTTAGATATATGGATTTAGAGCAAATTAGGCCAGTTAGACAAAGCATATTATTCAAGGCAAAATTTCCTAATTTTGATAATGCTCATCTCTCGCATTTTACTTATAGATGTTGAGCATGCAAGTAGAGAGAGCTGACCGTGTTTCATTAATATGCCGGGAGCATGCAAACCAGGAGTCAAAACTCTTTACTCCGGTCATTATCCTGTAAATTAACATACAGTAAGTGGCTGCAGGGGTGCGTATTATGGTACGACAAAGCCTTACTTCCCCAGCCACCATTTTCAAGTATCCACAAAGTGGACCCCAGTCCAGAATTTAGTTAAATAAAAGACCTACATTAATCAGTGTAGATGAGTGCTTTAATGTCCATTTATGGAAGCCCCAGAATAGCAGAGCCGAACTCCGAAGATATTTACTCTTACTTTATATACAACGCTAACAGATGGCCATTGGTTCTGTAGCCCAGAGTTCAAAACCCGCAGGGGGATGGCCAGGGAAAAGCACTGGAGAGCAGAAAGAATGAAAAGGAAAGGAGCAGACAAGCAAACCACAAAAAAACAGAATGAGCCACTTGGAACACACAGTTTGGGGCCAGTTAGTATTGGGGCAAATAGCGCTCACCGCCCCACGATCTCTGAACGTTTGGCAGGCAGTCAGGAGAAATACTTGCTGTTTTTAACAAAGACAGTCAAGCATCGAGGAAAAGTTCATTTGAGTTCACTTGGCTTTCATAGGATAGAGCGTTATGCAACCCATTTTAGAAAAAGTCTCATCAAAACAGACTAAGAAATCAGTCAAAAAGCTTTGGTAACATGTTAAAAAGGATAAATTACTTATCTGGAAAATTCGTTTGGCTGGAACATGATGTTTATCTAAGTTCCTGGATAAATGTGATGTGACTGTTTCAGCTTTTGTCCACTAACTTGCTTTTTGTCCAACGTTTCCCCTTAGAAACAATATTTATTACGAGTTCTCTTGTGTCACCTTTTTATTATCGAGTCCATAATTTGCAGCTAACATGATAAGTGCTTAAAAAACAATGTAGACAGACTTGACATTATCACTCATTTCTTTTTTCCCTGCCTTCCCTCAGATGATGAAGTAATAGGAGTCAGTGTCAGTGTCCGGGACCGGGAAGATGTCGTCCAAGTCTGGAATGTAAATGCGTCTTTAGTGGGCGAAGCAACCGTTTTAGAAAAGATCTATGAACTTCTGCCCCACATATCTTTTAAAGCAGTATTTTATAAACGTAAGTGCTTCATTTTCAGTTATTACTTTCTAGCTTATTCTGTCATACTTTTAAAGATAGAGACTGTGTTGCAAATGAGATGGAGGTAGAATCACTCAAAATTCTATAATCCAGAAAATAATTCAATAAAATACACGTGTTTTGTTTAAAAAAAAAAGTTTAGTCTCAGAAATTAAAATGAGATTTTATTATCATCTAAACACATGAATCAGAAAAGGTGGTACATATTGTATTTATTTCAGAAATTTAAGCCTGATCTTAAATTTGTCATTCTCAGGAAAAAAATTACCTTCTATTTGAAGCAACAATAACAAAAATGTTATTATATGAGCTGGCAGGTAGATATTCAGTCATCCCTTCATAAACAGGAATTTATAATGTATAACATCTGTATTTGTGGAGGAACTTGTTCTGAGCGCGGGGATGATTGAATGTTCTACTGAAATGCTAATACTTCCTCATTATGGAAGACTGTGACACAGAACGAAAGAGAATTCACGCACAGTGGTGAAATGTTAACAGTATGAATAGGTGTGTGGACCCATTGTTTCCATCATGATTCATGTTCATTGCTTTTGTGTGCTCTTTTGAAAAAGTCATCTTTTTCATAATGAAAACACCCCTGTGCTTATTAAACCAATGTTTGGTAGATCAAACTGCAGGTTACACTTTTAACAGTGAGTTAAAGAAACGTACTGATAGCCCTACACATACATAGGATAAATTCCTACTTCCCAAACTACCCCAAGAGCCGATGACCCAATTTTTTAAACTCTGGTATTTCATGGACTCTAAGATGCCCTTGACTATGGTGTCATTTTACTATTCGTAAGAAGGAAAAATAAAAGGCTCCCAATTAAACAATGACATTGTATTGATTCCAGGGGTCTTGAGATGTGGGGTGGGGAGTGGGGAGTGCATCTCAGTTTTGCCGAGATATACTCCATTACTGTTTCCCAACCCCTTGCCAAAAAGGAGGGGAAAAATCAAATGCTCTTTGGAGATTGTCTTAGTATGATAGAGGTTATTAAAACAAAGACCTCCCTCGTAGGAATCCTACGTTCCCAGACCAAATGATTTAGATTTTAAGCAACAAGACTGACCTGTTTCTGTCGGTATTCAGGAGGTGCTCAGCTTCTGAATTTTAAATGAAAGTTTAAATAAAAGAGATAGAAAGATGGCCCTGCCGAAGTTGATTCTTGGCTGTGCAGTGTGGAAATTGCACATTTGCAGATGCAATTTTCCCTCCTTAGGGGACATTAATTGTATTTTCAATCCAGATATTAATTGAAAGGTCACCAGGGGTCTTTTCTGGTTTTTCTCCTTCACAAGCCTGTCTGGAAGAAGTGTGTTTCATGGCCATTTATAAATGGGGCTATAGCATTCTTTACCACCTTTGAAGCAACTCCACATTTGACTCAGAAGAGGAGAGAAGCAGTTTGGAATCATTAAGTCAGGCACTCTGAATTTTTGTCCCCCCTTCAACGGTGTGACCTTGAGCAAGTCACATCTTCCCGTCTGTTCGCTTTCTCACCAAAATATCGAGGAGGTTCGTCTTAAATGATCTCCAAGGTTCCTTCTACTTCAAAATTCTCTCATTAAATTTCCAAGTAACATGGTTAGCAGCAGGTCCAAGATGATAGGAGTATATCATTAGAAAATTAAGCCACAGGGTGGTTAGGCTAGTTTTTAGGGCAGTGGTAATAATCAGGTAAGACTGAACAAGGATGAGTCACAGCTTAGTTGTTATGATGGCTTGAGGGGGGGGGAGGGGAAGCCAAATCTGGGGGAAAAGTTGCAACATGGCCAGTTGAATCAAGTTGAATAGATGCCCTAAAGATAGATGCCATTGTGAAGTTTGTGAGTAATGCAGAACTGGCTAGGGTCTCTGTAGAAATCCATATTTTAATGGCATAAATTAACATTTAAAGACTCAAAGATTATTCAAATAAAAATTTGAATTGGAAAAAACAAGCAATTCTCTTTATTTTATATAAAGCAGGCAGTCCTTTACTCAGTAGGGTTATTATATACCACGTGCTACAGAATTGATTTGGAAAAATGAGGTTTGTGCAGAAATCTTATTCACAGCATGATGGAGAACAGTCGTAGGGTGAGCTAAGTTAGAAATGGCCAACTCTCTGCTTTTATTCTGTCTTGTTAATAGGATCCTGGTGTAAGTATTCACAAGTGTACGAAAGCCAGGTGACATGGCAGGTTTTCCATGTGGAAAGAGCCCAAGCATATTCGGTCAAGACCTCCGGCAGGGGAGATGAGAACTGGGCCGTTGTTAAGTCATACATGATTTGGATACAGAGTAATTATTTGACTGAGAAACTCACAGTGTACAGAGACCCTTCCCATGTCCCCAGCTGGTTCACACACCCTCCCCACTGGTGTCACCTTCTTCAGGGCAGCTGAATGACATCTTTTTGATGTGAGAATTATTTAGAGCAGAGGTTGGCAAACCATGAACCTTATGCCAAATCTGCCCCCTCCTTGCCTTCTTTTTTGTAAGGGCTGCAGCTAAGAATGGTTTTCACATTTTTACATGGTTGGAAAAAATTAAAAGAAGAACGACATTCTGTAACACAAGAAAACTGTATGAAATTCAAATTGCAATGTCCATATATAGACGAAGTGTACTGGCACCTAGCAGGGCCTCTTTGTGCCCACGTGGTCTGTGGCTCCTCCAGTGCTGGCTGTGGCACGGTTAATTGTTGGGACAGACACCGGATGGCCCGCAGAGCATAAAACGTTTATTCTCTGCCCCCTTCCAGAACAAGTCCTCTGACTCCTGATTTCCAGAATTCTCTATTCTCTTGCCACCAAGGCTAACCTAAGGCTAAAAGAACTTGTGTCTCGCAGAACTCGCCCAGTTCTGAATGTTCCATTCTGCTATCTCCATGGCCCATCACACTTGCATTATTCTGGTATCTCGGCTATGCCCACCCCAGAATGGTCCCTCACACTCAGAGCAATAAAAAATCTCTGGACAGTCCGTATCTCTTGATTTATCCCTTGGAGCCCAGCAACCCTGAGAGGTCTGTTGGCTTCGCCACTTGACCCAGCATCACTGTATATTCTAGTGCAGATCAGAGCCCGTTTGCTTCAGTACCGGCCTGAAAAAGTGTTTTAAAAAGAAAAAAATAAAATAAAAAGTAAAATATTTGTAAAGATTTACATGTGAGAAGTGTTCAGTTAGATCATTTCTGTAGGCTGTCCTTAGGAATTTGGCCAACTCACAGTATCCCGAGAGCTCTAAGTGTGCTTCCCCCACAGGGTTTTATCCAAAGAACAGGTTGGGATGAACCTCCAGGATGATCCTGAAGGGAAAACGATCCCTTTGCCTACCCCTTCATCCCTTTAGACACTGGTCTGAAGAATTTAGTCTATACTAAAAACAGAGAATTGGGAGGGGCTTAACAGGTGAAGCCGGCCAGCCCATCCATTCACTGCCCATGAGAGGTGGGGGGAGGGGTAGGGACCGGAAGACAAAGCACAGAGAATTCTGATTTGCCTTTGGCTTTATTAGACCCAAGCCCCGGTGGCTTGTCCCCTTGAGAGAAAAGGACCTACCCTTGCTTCATGATGATGGTTAGCCGGATTCAGGAAGTGGATTTCCACCCTTGGCTTTTTTTGTCTTGGACAAGATGTTATGCATTTCATGAATGTCTCATTTCCGACTTCCACTTTACAAAATTGTTAAGTCTTTGAAAAATACTTTTGATAGCACCATTTTTTATTCTAGAGTTCCTAATTGTAATTAGTAATTTCATAAGCCAGGCAATAGGACTGGGGGGGAGATTTTTTTTTTAATTAAAAAAGAAAATATGATTGGAAAAAATAAAAGACCCATCAGTTTTTTGAAACTTCATTTCCCACAGGGGTGCTCAGAAGTGGGGAGATGTAATACGATTGCTACCCGCTTGTGTTGTTCTTTTGTTTTGCTTTATTTTTGTTTTATTTTATTTCTAAAGATAGGTCCATGAATGGCCCTGGCGTGGGTCACATGGGGTCTCCCACCCCGTGCATTCTGTGGGGCACATTTTCCCCTGTAGCATGGGAAGCCTTGCATATTTCTCTTCATCAGCTCGTGGGGATTACTCATCCTCTCGGCACAGCAAGAAGAAACAGGCAGCATGCCCATTGCTTGTTTATTCCTTGTTTTAATTTTCATTATTACGTTTCTCAGGAAATGCACGCCTTAGCTAACAGTTACTGGCACAAAAAGGTATTTGCATTCTTGCCAACATTTGGGGAAACTGAATGAGATGCCTTAGAGAAGGGTTGCCCCATCCTTTGCTTAAAGTTTTCTTTCCTTTTTTTCTTTTTTGTTTTTTTCTGTCCTTTAGCCCATGAAGAGCATCATGCTTTTGAAGGTGGACGTGGAAAACACTAATTGCACTCTAAAGAATTCTTTGTCCTTTGCTGATTGGTTTTGGAAACGGTCTTAACAGGAGGGAGAGTGAAGAGAAGACTTGCCGAAGCCCGATGCTGGTCCATTTAGAGTGGGTTTCTGCCCTTGCAGACTGGGCACTTAGGGCTCAAAGTGGCAGGTGGGGTTGGGGGAGACTGTGTGGGTTTCTACCGTCACATTATTTGCTTTTTTTTATTTTTCTTTTTTGGCTTTTTAAATTCTCTGTTCTTTTCACTCTGGGCTTTTTTTTTTTTTTTTTT